ATCGCCCACAAGTGGCCCTGATTGCCCACAAGTGGCCCTGATCGCCCAACAAGTGGCCCAGCAGTGTCCCTGATTGTCAGTGTCCCTGACCACCACATAGTGGCCCAGCAGTGTTCCTGATCGCCACAGTGTCCCTGATCGTCACAGTATCCCTGATCGCCACAGTGGCCAAGCAGTGTCCCTGATCGTCACACAAGTGGCCCAGCAGTATCGCCGCAGTGGCCAAGCAGTGTCCCTGATTGCCACACAAGTGGCCCAGAAGTGTCCCTGATTGCCGCAGTGGCCCAGCAGTGTCCCTGATCACCGCAGTGTCCCTGATTGCCGCACAAGTGGTCCAGCAGTGTCCCTGATCGCCGCAGTGGCCCAGCAGTGTCCCTGATCACCGCAGTGTTCCTGATTGCCGCACAAGTGGTCCAGCAGTGTTCCTGATCGCCACAGTGTCCCTGATTGCCGCACAAGTGGTCCAGCAGTGTCCCTGATTGCCGCAGTGTCCCTGATTGCCGCAGTGGCCCAGCAGTGTCCCTGATCGCCACACAAGTGGTCCAGCAGTGTGCCTGATCGCCGCAGTGGCCCAGCAGTGTCCCTGATCACCGCAGTGTCCCTGATTGCCGCACAAGTGGTCCAGCAGTGTTCCTGATCGCCACAGTGTCCCTGATTGCCGCACAAGTGGTCCAGCAGTGTCCCTGATTGCCGCAGTGTCCCTGATTGCCGCAGTGGCCCAGCAGTGTCCCTGATCGCCACACAAGTGGCCCAGCAGTGTCCCTGATCGCCGCACAAGTAACCCAGCATTGTCCCCGATTGCCGCACAAGTGGTCCAGCAGTGTCCCTGATCACCACAGTGGCCCAGCAGTGTCCCTGATCACCGCAGTGTCCCTGATTGCCGCACAAGTGGTCCAGCAGTGTCCCTGATCGCCGCAGTGGCCCTGATTGCCGCAGTGGCCCAGCAGTGTCCCTGACCACCACACAAGTGGCCCAGCAGTGTCCCTGATCACCGCATTGGCCCAGCAGTGTTCCTGATCACCACACAAGTGGCCCAGCAGTGTCCCTGATCACCGCATTGGCCCAGCAGTGTTCCTGATCACCACACAATTGGCCCAGCAGTGTCCCTGATCCCCACATTGGCCCAGCAGTGTTCCTGATCACCACACAAGTGGCCCAGCAGTGTCCCTGATCGCCGGATAAGTGGTCCAGCAGTGCCCCTGATCACCGAAGTGTCCCTGATCACCGCAGTAGTCCAGCAGTGTTTCTGATTGCCACACAAGTGGCCCAGCAGTGTCCTGATCATCGCAGTGGCCCAGCAGTGTCCCTGATCGCCGCAGAAGTGGTCCAGCAGTGTCCCTGATTGCCGCAGTGCCCCAGCAGTGTCCCTGATCACCGCAGTGTCCCCGATTGCTGCACAAGTGGTCCAGCAGTGTCCCTGATCACCGCAGTGTCCCTGATTGCCGCAGTGGCCCAGATCACCACACAAGTGGCCCAGCAGTGTCCCTGATCATCACACAAGTGGCCAGCAGTGTCCCTGATCGCCGGACAAGTGGTCCAGCAGTGCCCCTGATCACCGCAGTGTCCCTGATCACCGCAGTTGCCCAGCAGTGTTTCTGATCGTCACACAAGTGGCCCAGCAGTGTCCTGATCATCGCAGTGGCCCAGCAGTGTCCATGGTCGCCGCACAAGTGGTCCAGCAGTGTCCCTGATCGCCACAGTGTCCCTGATTGCCACAGTGTCCCTGATCGCCACACAAGTGGCCAGCAGATCACCGCAGTGTCCCTGCAGTGTCCCTGATCACCATACAGTGGCCCAATCAGTGTCCCTGATCACCTTACAGTGTGCCTGTTCATAAAGTGTCCCTGATCTCTGCCACACCAGTGGATCCTGTTCACTGCCATCGTCTGTGAGGAGAGAGATCTAGTACAGCTAACTGTGAGTAATTTTCAGCCTTTGCACAGAGTTTACACACACACAAAACATTGCCAGCCACCTCACTGTATCTCTGATTTTTGCCCAACAGTGACTAGTGTGAACCAACTGCAGCCAGATATCTTTCCCTCACTGCAACACCATCCTGATCACTGCCATACCAGTGGGTCCTGATCAGTGTCAAAAATATGGCCAAAAGATCATATACAAGAGAGGAGGCATTTCAAATTCTGAGTATGACAGATGAGAGTGACGGAGAACTTAAAACATACCTTGGGGTGTTTGCTTTCCAAAATGGGGTCTTTTTATGGATAATTCCATTGTCCTGATGCTCCAGGACCTCCAAAACAGCAATAGGTAGTTAAGAAATTAGATGTGCGATTTTGCCCTTAGAACGCTAACAGGTGCTTATTGGATGTGGAACCCCTCTATGTGGCCAGACTGTGAAAAAGTCTCACACATTTGGTATCACCATATTCAGGAAGAGTTAGAGAATGTGTTTTGGGGTGTAATTTTAAGTATGCCTATGCAGTGTATTAGAAATATCTCATAGATTGACAACTTTGTGTAGAAAAAAATACATTTTCATTTTCTTTTCGCATTTTCCAAAAACTTGTGGCAAAAAATGAAGTCTTCAGAAGACTCTGCATGCCTCTTAAAACATACCTTGGGGTGTTTGCTTTCCAAAATGGGGTCATTTTGTGGATAATTCCATTGCCCTGATGCTCCAGGACCTCCAAAACGGCAATAGGTAGTCAAGAAATTAGATGTGTAATTTTTGCCCTTAGAACGCTAACAGGTGCTTATTGGATGTGGAACCCCTCTATGTGGCCAGACTGTGAAAAAGTCTCACACATTTGGTATCGCCATATTCAGCAGGAGTTAAAGAATGCGTTTTGAGGTATCATTTTAAGTATGCCTATGCTGTGTAATAGAAATATCTCATAGATTGACAACTTTGCGTAAAAAAAAAAATACATTTTCATTTTCTTTTCACATTTTCCAAAAACATGTGGCAAAAAATGAAGTCTTCAGAGGACTCCCCATGCCTCTTAAAACATACCTTGAGGTGTTTTCTTTCGAAAATGGGGTCATTTTGTGGGTAATTCAATTGTCCTGGTGCTCCAGGACCTCCAAAACTGTGATAGACAGTCAAGAAATTAGATGTGTAACTTTTGCCCCTAGAACGCCTAAGGGTGCTTATTGGATGTGGGGCCCTTCTATGTGGTTAGGCTGTGAAAAAGTTTTACACATGTGGTATCGCCATACTCAGGATGAGTAGCAGAATGTGTTTTGGGGTGTAATTGCAAGTATGCCTATGCCGTGTGAGAGAAAGAACTTGTTAAATGACAACTTTGTGGGGAAAAAAAAAAATAATTTTTTTTTACTTTCATCATTTCCTTAAAAAATTGGCAAAAAATGACAACTTCAAAAAACTCCCCATGCCTCTCATTAAATACCTCAGACTGTCTACTTTCCAAAAAAGGGTCGTTTGGGGGGTATTTGTACTGTCCTGGCATTTTAGGGCCCCAAGAAATTATATAGGTAGTCCGTGCATCAGGATTGATACATTTTCAAATATATCAAATATATATACCGTGGTCTGTGGACTCTATAACTTTCACAAAGACTAAATAATACACACTGATTTGGGTTATGTCTACCAACAAAATGTAGCACAATGGATTTTGGCCTAAATTTATGAAGAAAGTATATTTATTTGCAAAATTTAGTATCAAATACTAAAAAAACATGTTTTTTTTCAAAATTTTCAGTCTTTTTTCATTTTTCTAGCAAAAAATAAAAAAACCCAGTGATGATTAAATACCACCAAATTAAAGCTCTATTTGTTTGAAAAAAAATGATAATAATTTCATTTAGATACAGTGTTGTATGCCTGAGTAATTGTCATTCACAATGTGAGAGCGCTGCTGAAAATTGGCCTGGACAGGAAGGGGGGTAAAAGTGTCCGGACAGGAAGTGGTTAAGTATTTTTTATTGTGTGCTGTCCTGATAAAAAAAAACCTTTGATATTGCCTTACCTGAAAACACAGAGTGCTCAGTGCCTCACTTCCCTTTTCTCTTTCTATATATGTATATGAACATATTTATTTTGATTACTTCCTATTTTTCTTTTTCCTTTTAGCAACTTGTTAACCCCTTGGTGCTGAGTATGCGCAAATTAGCAGCCCCGCTGGACTGGGCTTTTTTCTGTGAGGCCGCTAATTTGCATATCTGTTTTTGTATTAGGAGCTTGCCACACAATGCACTCCCAGAACAAAGACCAGGGTGTCAGTGAAAGCCTCGGGTCCCATTCTAATGATTGGGACCTGGAACTCCTGATTCGCTGTGAAAGCCTCTGATTGGATATCACAGTGATCAGTCACTATGATGCCCTACCCCCTTGTTTTCTCTCTGAATGGAGGAAAGAGATACATTGTTTCTTTCTCTGTCCTTTCAGAGAGAGAAAAAGTGTGTGTAAGTAAATAAATAAATACATAAAATAAATAAATAAAATAAAATACCTGGATCAAGGTTTGATCTGGGTCAGTGTCAGGGTTAGTGTTTGTGTCAAGGTCAGGGTCAGTATTTTTTTTCAGTATTTTTTTTCCTTTTAATTTTTAAACTAGCATCAGTGTCAGTTAGTGGCAGCATAAAAAAAAGCAAAATGCGTACTATTGTTTCTGGGCGGTATTATGAGTACAAACAACAACTAACATATGTGATATCGCTGCGATCATCAGGAGCAGGAGAAATGATTTTGGATTGTTCTTTGGTGGTTGGTTATGGTAGTAGCAAGAAATATACAACTAAAAAAATTTTTTTTTTTTACTATTTTGGGTCAGTTTTCCTTTGATAATGAAGAAAAAATCAGGAGATATTCTATTACCATTTACCACCAAATGAAAGCCCAATTTGTCCTGAAATAAAACACGGTATAATCCACCTGAATGCACAAAGTAATTGTGATGATATATACAGTTTTGCTAACACATGTAGCAAAATTGTGCTTAGGCTTTAAGATTTGTTTTTGTTTTAGGAGTGAAGGGGATAACAATCTTTTAAAAGTAGAGAAATAACTTTACCTGTTGGTTGAGGTGGTCCATAGGCTGGAGGAGGTGGATAAGCAGCTCCTACACATTCACAAATAAATTGAATACATATAGTAAATTTACACATGAATTTTAAAGATGCAATTTGCATAGAAATCAAGATAGTTTGCTAAGTCTAACAGTAATTTTCCATGTACTCCAACGCTGCAAAATTCTGATAACTTGTATTAAATGATCATGCCAAAATCTGTAGACTTTTTAAACAAGAAAATATGAGTTTATTATACAATGTATTTTCTAGTGGTGCACTGAAATGAAAATTCTGGTACCAAAACTGATACCAAAAATTCAGAATGCACATGGCCAAAAAACCAAACCAAAACCGAAATGTGTGCGTATGTGGGGCTGGGGAGGCTCCTATTGTTTTTTTTTTTTTTTAACTTATGATTTTATTGCTATCACATAGGGGACCAATAGTCCCCTATGTGATAGCATATAAGTGATAGTTCCTCCTTGTAGGGAGGATGGGGTGGGCAGGCAGTGTGTGCAAGGAGGGAGCAGGAGAGGAGCAGTGTATACAGAGAGGCTCCCTCACTGGCTGTCACTATGGGGTTTATTTACTAAACCTGGTTGACTCAGAATCTTGGGCACCTGTGCATGGTAGCCAATCAGCTTCTAACCTTAGCATGTTCAGTTAAGCTTCAGCAATAAAACCTGGAAGCTGATTGGTTTTTATGCAGAAGTAGACAAGATTCTGAGTCAACCAGGTTTAGTAAATAAACCCCCATATGTCAGTGCTGGTTTTTAAATATAATTACCAGCTTTTTTTTCCTTCTCTATAGCTCAGAGAATGAGCTGTCACTCTCCCCGAAGCTGAAGGAAACAAAGGGGCAGGGTCACTGGGTAATGTCACTGGTTGACCCCGCCCCTTTGTTTCCATCCGAGAATGACAGCTCCTTCTCTGAGCTATAGTAAAGGGAAAAAAATGCTGGTAATTACATTTAAAAATGCCATTGTTTTTAATTGCAATTACAGGATTTTTTTTTTCTTCACTATAGCTCAGGAAAGGAGCTGTCATTTTTGGGAGGGCTAAAGGAAATAAAGGGGTGGGTTCAACCAGTGACATTACCCAGCAACCTGCCCCTTTGTTTCCTTTAGCTCCGGGGAGAGGGACAGCTCATTCTCTGAGCTATAGTGAAGAAAAAAAAAGCTGGTAATTACATTTAAAAACTGACACTGACATATAGGCAGTCGCTCCTTTCCTGACTTTCTCCATCACCCCCCCCCCCCCCACCCCCTCACATTTGCAGTACCCACAGTCCCCTGTATAAGCTAAATTTTTCATAACGGCGAAATGCCGATATGGCTATTTTCAGCCGATATGTTTCGGCAGCCGAAACTTCAGTGAATTTCTAGTATTTTCTGTGTTCCCAGTCTCTAGATACACTGTTTGAAAGGACCATTCTGAATGTCCTCAAAGAACTGTGCCTTAAGTGTTAGGTTAGTGTTAGATGCTCTGACATTGAACTCAATATTGTATCTGTATTATTTTGATTAAATCTATTGATGTAGCACTGTCAGTTTTTCTATATCAATTTACAAAGAACATTGTTGCATCCACTAACTCCAGGGCTAGAAATGAAAATAGTGACCTAGGGGGTAAAGTAACAACTACATAGTTTGTTTAAAGAAGAGCTATCAGCAAATTTTTTTTTCATTTTGGATAGCATAAGAGAGGGTTATAAGCTCTGTCAGATTTTTTTTTTGCCATCTGTGTCCCATTGGGGAGATTTTCTTCACCTTTACCTCCTGTCCCATAGCTAAAACAGGAAGTGAGATCAAATCCCTGCAAATTAAGGGAATCTCTTGGGGACCCCTAGGCCACCAGAACTAGTTTCCCCATAAGAAAATTTACCTTTTATAACTTTTCTGGGGATAAACCAAAATTTGGGATTATCTTTTACTCTCACATTCAATGATAAATAGGACAAATGAAGAGAGTGAATCTTCCTAATGGGGCACACAGTAATAAAACAAAAACCTAATCGATGTTAGAATCCATCTCCACTCTGTCCAAAACTAAAAAAAATGGTTTGCCTTTACTTATATGTTAAACAGTTATGATAGGCCTGGCTTATCTAGGTTAATTGTTCCATGTTAAAAATGGCAAATTGTTTAGCAATGTCAAAAAGATAACATTAATTGATTCAAATAGAAAGATTTCAGATGCTATTGGGGCATAAATTTAAGCATTAAATAGCTTTTGTTGGAAAAAATCAGCATCAATAAATTTATTCAAAAAGACTATCTCTCTTTTATTATATAACAACTGCCTGAGGCTGGTCTTGTGAGTACACGCTCAGTGCTCCTTTTTCTCATTAAATGGAAAGGTATAGTTTTTCTGTATATTTTCTTTATTCATTATGGTCAGAACATTTTTTCCAGCTCATTGAAGCTGTTATTAGAATTTTCGTTCTGCTCCTAGAAGATAAATATTGTTATCCTATGTGTCCATGCAAACTTTAGGCTATAAGCATTTTTCTTCAGCATTTAGGAGCAGAAAAAAAAATTGTTTTTGCAGAGTTTTTTGGAGCGTCTTTCCAGCAGGAAAAAATGTTAAATGCTACTAAAAAAAACGCTACTAGCAGTGGTTTTTATCCAACATTTTATCCAGCATTTTTTTTAGCTTTAAAAAACTGCAAGTGTGTATGGAACCTAAATGTCCAACCAAGGCTGTGAAGTGAATAATGGGGAGCTTGTGTTCTCTGTTTCCTAAATCTAATTTTCAATGGGGAAACATTTAAAAATAATTGACCCTTGTAGTATACTACATTATGGACATTCACTGCATTCCAGTAAAATGATTGATAAACTTGAGTCTGGTAATACTGTTATGTGGGTGCAAACTAGAATAAAATGATATGGGAATGATGAATCATGAACAATGAAAAGTGATCCTATTATTTATTAATTTTTACTAAACCAAGCCTGGGATTTTTTGCACAGATTATTATACTTAGTGTGCAATTAGCTGGCCATATGCAAACAGATATTTCCCTGAGAATGACAGATGGACAAAAGTAGTCTGTGCATGGTTAATGTTTTCCTTCTGTCTTTCAACAAAGCCAATTAGGTCAGTTTATAACAGTTGTCTTTGCTTGATATCACTCCCTCAGGTGACCCCAAACACTCTGATCCTCATTATTAACAGAGATCACATATAGTGACATATATATTGATAGTAAAAAACAAATCATTTATAACCACCCATACAGAATATGTTTTATCCATCACTAAAAATACATTTCTATATACCAACCTGGATGTGGGTAAGCTGGTGCAGATGCTGGATATCCTTTATCTAGTTCTGGCTGATACATGGTTTATCTACCTACATGACAAAAAGAAGGAAAAAAAATGAGGAATGTATTGAAAATACCTACAATTTTCTATTATTGCCTTTAAATATTGTGATGTCTAGTGCTAGCAGGGGCAGTTAAAATCCAAGTTAACATTGATCCATGCAGAGACTTTCTGTGATTTTTTTTTGTTCTATTTGGTCCTAATTACTTTCTAATGATAAATGTCCCCTATTTAAGAACATTGTTCTAATGTAACTCATTATAGGTATGCTACACTCCACTTGTCTCTCTACATCAAAACCCTAAAGTTCTGATTGGCTGTTAAACTGTGATTCAGTTTTCTAATTACATCCTATGTACCCCCCCCCCCACCCATGACAGAAACTTGCATTTCAGTAGTTCTGAACAACTCTGTCTTGTACTATTTAAGGATTTTTAACAGTAGGGCAAGTAGATAGTGTCATAGTCCAGAACCAGTAAGGCTCCCAACAAGAGTATATTTTTAGTCACAACTCTAGCCCAAAGTTGTTAGAAGCATGTGACAAGTTGACAAGTTTTGCCTTGCCTTTGAATTTGCTACTGACCCTGTGCCTAAATAATGGATTACTTTACTGATCAAACCCTACCCAGACCATTGCTTGGGTAAAAGATTACACCACTGATTGCCACTTGCCCTGACCATTGCCTGAATATGGATTTCACTATTGATTGCTACCTGCCTTGAACCTTGCTTGGATAATGGACACTGTCATTGACTGCTGCTTTTCCTGATCTTTCCTGGGTGTGTGCTACAGTTAAGACAATGGAACAGTCACCTGAACCTGTATTTATGTTGAACACACAGTTACATACAAAAACACACTAACATTAATTTTCCAAAGCTAACAGTCACTTTGCTGAGTGACGTGTCTTTCACTCCATTACTAAATTTCAAGTCTGTTTGAAGCTGGCCATATACACTAGTAGATCTTTTATCATGTAGTAAGATCAGTCTGAGTTAGAGATGTGTGTTCAGGTCCTAAATAGTTTCCATATATACAACCTATGAGATACTAAAGAGGTGTAGCACTTATTAACCCATTCATAGCAAACTCTTTCTTGTGCAAAGGGGAATTAGTAGCTCATATACGTATGTTGCAAAAACATGTTCCAGCTGGCCAGCTACATCAAAGTAATCCCTCTCTGGCCAGTCCCTACTATATGGGTTGGTTCACTACATACTGCAGGTTAAAAAGCAAAGAGGGCAGGAAAATCTGAAATACTGTATTCTTTAATATCAAAATGGTGGGTGGAGGGAAGGCCAAACGGTACCAGATCCCTTTAATTGGTTAACAATTCAAGCAATAAAGGAGTGAGGCTTTTAATTTTCCAACAAGAAAACATAACCTTTACAACAACATCAATTTTGATTATACAACAAATAATACGGAAAATGCTGGTTTAAAATAGTGATAACCACTAAACAGTAGTATACTTTTAAGAGGGTGAACAGCACTTTTAGATAAAAGAGTATTCCATTAACTGTGGGCATTCCTGCTCAATTAATGACTCGTACTATGATAATTCCTGCATATTCATAGCAAACTCCTGCTGAAAAAAATGGTGATTCTTAGTTTGCATATGTTGCATTACATGTTCAAGCTGGCCAACTGCATCAAAATGATCCCTCTATGGCTAGTCCCTACAATACCTTGCATACTGCAACCTCTATGCTAAATTGGCATACTTTTAAGACAGTGGACATGTAGTGCCAATATGGGAGAAAACAGACACAGGTGGAATTGTGCTACAGGCCAAAGTCTAGTGATGCATATCTGTCACGTGTGTTTCCAATCCACCATTCCAAAAGATAATCAATCTCTTCACCAGTTCTTTAACCACTTCTCTCTACCCAGTTCTTTACACTGCATCTCTGATAAAGCCTATATATATATATATATATATATATATACAGTGAAGGAAATAAGTATTTGATCCCCTGCTGATTATGAATGTTTGCCCACTCACAAAGAAATGATCAGTCTAAAAATCGAATGGTAGGTGTATTGTAACACTGAAAGACAGAAAAGCATCAACAAATTCAGCAGAAATGCATGTCTAACAAATGATGCACTGATTTGCATGTTCATGAGGGAAATAAGTATTTGATCCCCTATCATTCAGCAGGATTTCTGGCTACCAGGTGTCTTTCATACAAGTAACAAGCTGAGATTAGAAGCAGTCTCTTAAAGGGAGTGCTGCTAATCTCATTTTGTTACCTGTGTAAAAGATACCTGTCCACAGGAGCAATCAAACAATCAGATTCCAAACTCTCCACCATGGCAAAGACCAAAGAGCTGTCCAAGGATGTCAGGGACAACATTGTAGACCTACACAAGGTAGACTGGGCTACAAAACTATCGCCATGCAGCTTGGTGAGAAGGTGGAAACAGTTGGTGCAGTCATTCGCAAATGAAAGAAACACAAAGCAACTGTCAGTCTCCCTAGGTCTGGTGTACCATGCAGGATCTCACCTCGTGGAGTGTCAACGATCATGAGAACAGTGAGGAATCATCCCAGAACTACACGTGAGGATCTTGTCAATGATCTCCAGGCAGCTGGGACCACAGTCACCAAGAAAACAATTGCTAACACACTACGCCGACAAGGATTGAAATCCTGCAGTACCCGCAAGGTCCCTCTGCTCAAGAAAGCACATGTACAGGCCTGTCTGAAGTTTGCCACTGAACATCTGAATGATACAGAGGAGGAATGGTTGAAAGTGTTGTGGTCAGATGAGACCAAAATTGAGCTCTTTGGCATCAACTCAACTCGCAGTGTTTGGAGGAGGAGAAATGCTGCCTATGACCCCAAGAACACCATCCCAACTGTCAAACATGGTGGTGGAAACATTCTGCTTTGGGGGTGTTTGTCTGCTAAGGGGACAGGACAACTGCACCGCATCAAAGGGACAATGGACGGGGCAATGTACCGCCAAGCTTGGGTGAGAACCTTCTTCCCTCAGCCAGGGCATTGAAAATGGGTCGAGGATGGGTGTTCCAGCATGACAATGACCCAAAACACATAGCCAAGGCAACAAAGGATTGGCTCAAGAAGAAGCACACTAAGGTCCTGGAGTGGCCTAGCCAATCTACAGACCTTAATCCGATTGCAAATCTGTAAAGGTTCGAGTTGCCAAACATCAGCCACCAAACCTTAATTACTTGGAGAGGATCTGCCAAGAGGAGTGGGCCAAAATGCCTCCTGAGATGTGTGCAAACCTGGTGACCAACTATAGGAAACATATGACAGTTCTTTTTAGGCAGGCCCAGTTGTTTCTCTTCTGGTGCTTTGCTTTTTGCTATATCTATATACACCTACTTGGACAATGGACAAATTCATAAGACCTTCAGATACAGAGTAGTATGTTTCTCTTACTTCCACTCTCTCATTTCTACTAATTCATCCTGTGGTGATAATTGTTACACTGATAAATCTATGTTTATGATACTCAATAACTTGACTATCGTCACTGTATAATTACATGTTTCTTATGGCTCATAGCATGAGAATGGATCCAACATTTGGTTATGTTTTAACGTTCATTTATACACCAAATTGACCTTGTATGTAAAATCCTCTGTTCTAGTTGATATAAAAAATATTTTGGTACCAGTCAGCAGAAAGCACTCTTAACTGGTGGTTAGTGGAAAGCTCTACTGTACATTGGGGCCCATTACCCCCCCCCCCCCCCCCCCTCCCTGTTCACACACACACCTCTAGGCTCTATGCGCAATGGCTTAAAAAAATGCCAGTGCTCTTTGGCAGAAAAATAACCTAATTCTGAGCGTTTTTTTTCCACTAGTGTTTAGCATTTTTTTCTGCCAGAAAAAAAAAACCCTAAAAAAATGCAAAATAGGGTTTTTTTCCTTCCCTGCCTCTAAGAGATAAGCTTAAAAAATGACTCTAGACTACCTAATGTGCATGGACACATAGGATAACATTAGTTGCTTCTACAGGCAAAAAATGCTAAATGCCTCTAGGAATAGCAATTTTTTTTTTAAGCCAGTGTGCATGCAGCCTTATACTGATGGTCAACGGAAACCGTACTGCATTGTTTAGGTTGTTAGACTTGCAGAGGCACTTTTCAGCAGCTGAGCAGTTCACATGCTCAGGCAACAGAACCTGTAGAAATACGTTTCAGTGTTGGTGTTAACCAAAACCATGCAGGCCTAGATAATGCCACCTTACTCATGCCCAGGCCAGAGCATCTATGTTTTTTTTTATAGCCGAGGCTGCTGTGTCCAATATACTCTGCTCTGAGTGAATACCTCCTCCGACGTACAGGCTCTATTAAAGACATAGGAGCTGCTATAATGGTTGTTACACCCATTAATCTGTATATCTTTATCATCATCACTTCTGCCACTGTGCTCTCTACTAATGGCTTCTGATACTAAAATCCCTAACATACAAAAATGATGTTTTCCTCAGCTTTTCTTTGAAATTTAATTTTCCATAACTGATTGGAATAGGGATTTTCCTTTTCGGACATACTTTCCTAACTATTTTCATCTCAATTTGTACTTTTAAAAATAAATGTGTCTGTCTTCTGTCTTCACGGGTTCCCTATAAGCATAATCTACAAGGCGCATACTGGCTTGAAGGCGTTTTCCAGTTCCTACCATGTTGTTTGTGAACAATATAGAAGCTTTTACCATGTAGTTTGGGAAAAGTTGTTTTAAAAAAAAGACAAAGGTGACAAAAATACCACCGTTTATAATACTGTATATATAGCTGAGCCAATGAAGCTGTAATAATATAAAATACATTATACTCCTGCTATAATTTGTTGTTTTGAAGCCATCTACTCCTATGCATGGTTATAAGTATAAGTCAGTCACTAGAGCAACTGGAATGAGCTATTGCTCTTGTGAGGGAAAGTATTTGATTATCTCATGCGCATCTGGGAAACTTTTAATGTTTTTATACTTGTGAGTCTGCAAAGGAAATAGTTGTGTATAAAAAAAATGTAGGTT